AAATTGCAAATCGAAGACGATACAGATCTATTGAGATAATAAGCAATCGATTAATTTTCATGATGCATGCAATCGATTAAGAGTAAGATAAATGAACGATCGAGACAGAGATCGACGAAAAGGAGATTCGTAGAAGTCTATCAGAGGGTTAATAAGAGACGAACCTGAGATTGAAAGAAGACGATTGATGAATCGGAAAAGGATGAACGAAGAACACCCGAATTTTTTTGAGAGAGAAAATGAAGAATGGATTAATGAAACGAAGAAGACTGCTTTTGTTTGGTCAATGAAATTTTCGTCCCCAATTTTTTTTTTCCCGGGTTTTAATAAAAAAATACGCGGTTGAAAATACTATAGCGTTTATTCTTTCTCTGTGCTATAATACAAAGATCAAAATCCCAAAACAATACGCGCTTCCAAATTTCATTTTTTCGCTCCGGATATAATAGCGTTTTAGTTAGTGAAACGCTATTATATTTCCACCCACCAACATACAATAGCAAAAACTAATTAAACGCTATCTTACAATGCTATTAAAACCCTTATTTCTTGTAGTGGATGAGTCATCTCTCCATCCGTCTGAGTATGCTCGGCGTGCCATCTCATCCCTCCAGCAGTCTCCTCAGATTGGTACAATCTTTTCAATCTGTCTGTGATTGGTAGGTACCACATCCTTTGGTACGGTACCCTATTACGCCCTCGACCTTGCGGTTTGAATCGTGGCTTCTTACAAAATCGACATTTTTCTAACTTCTCATCATCTCCCCAGTAAATCATGTAGTTGTCGATGCAAACGTCTATCATCTCCAAGGGCAACCCTAGAATATATACCAATTTCTGAATCTGATAATAAGATTCAGCAGTCACATTGTCTTCTGGCAAATACTCTTTAAACAAGTCTGCCCATGCATCCATACAATTTCCAGGTAGACTGTGATCGGTTTTAATACTCATCATTCTAGCAGCCAACGACAATTTAGACAGACCTTCTCTGCAACCACTGTAAATTGGCTCATTCGCAGCATCTAACATTTCATAAAACTTTTTGGCATCTAAGTTAGGTTCTTCAACTTCATCATCATCATGAGTTACAAAGGCATCACCTACCATATCATGAACCCTATCACAATCTATCATTTGTTCCTCTTGGTGATGATAGATATTACTACTGCTACCTTCATTACGCAAATGTTCAACCGGTTCAATCTGAAAATTGTTATTACTACTGCTACCTTCATTCCTACAACTAGCATCTTCTCCATGTTGATACCAAATATAATAATATGGCATGAAACCTCTATTTACTAAATGCTTCCAAACATTTTCATGAGGGCCTAATTTGGTATTGCAATATTTCCGACAAGGACAGAACATCTTACCACTTTCCTGCGTGAGTGGTGTAGAATCTGCTTGATGCATAAACGTCTCCAACCCTTCGAGAAATTCTTTCGTCACCCTCCCTTTATTATCTCTGTGTGAATACATCCACTTCCACAACTCGAAAATATTTCCCGGACCGAACATTTTTTTTTTGTTTGATCAAGCTTATAGCTGATTTTTTTTTTGGTGTGTTTCAAATGAATCACATATGGTGGTATTTATAGAAATTTTCGAATCTGAGAATTTACTAGGAAATTGCTAGGAAAAGTAGGTACAAAACACGTTTTTGATTTAAATTCGATATTTTCTATCAATTTCCTTTTAATTTCGTAGTAACAAATCTTTTCCTCTTAATTTCGTAGTAAAGAATTACTAGGACCTTACGAGGAAAATCATTACTATGAGTTTACGAGGAAAATAACTTTTTCCTCGTAAGGGCCTCGTAAGTTTACTACGAGTTTACGAGGAAACTGTTTTCTCGTAAGTTTACGAGAACTTTACGAGGAAAAGTGGTTTCCTCGTAAACTCGAAGTAAACTCGTAGTATTTTTACGAGGAAATATTTTCCTAGTAAAGTTTCCTAGTAAAGGCTTAGTTTTCTTGTAGTGCACCTTTTATGATCATCGCAGTTGTCATTAACATTCTCGATCATTGAAGCTTCGTTTATAAAGGTAAATCCTCTAAAACGTTTGTTCTGAATGAATGTTTGCTTAAACAAAAAAATATGACATTCATATGTCTTTGGTTCACTAAAGTAATGTTCAGTAAAGATCATTATATCTAAAGCAAATGTAACAAGCCAATACGTTTCTTCCATGAGTTTTCCACGAATCTCTCTACTAATGGTAGATGTAAGTAACAATCATAAAGAAAATCAAATCCATAATTAACAATAACAAAAGTTAAATTAACTTCAGTTCTTTTATGATACACATTGAGACTAAACAACACCAACATTCATTAGCACATTATGAAATGATCACCTGAATACTCTCAAGAAATGGTTAGTGCAAGTGAACCATCCATGAATCATCAGATTATCTCCACTTACATACCGCGATTCATCGCTCGCCAGAAACAAAACCACGTTTGCCACATCATCAACCGTCAACTCAATCCCTTTTAGATTCGTATTTGCAGCCGCAAAGTTCTTAAAACCAACCAACGCATCATCCGTCCTTTCTCCCTCAGCCAAATGAGCCAACGCAAGTTTGGTCGCAACCGCGTAAGGCTAAACGCAGTTCACACGTATCCCATGTTGTCCAAGCTCAGCCGCAATGCTCCTAGTCATATCTACAACGGCATGCTTCGAACCAACGTAAGCATGCGGACCAATGCCTCCCACAACACCACCAACGCTACATAAAGACACTATAGACCCTTTCTTGGCCGGGATCATTACACGAGCTGCGTGTTTCATCCCTAGGAAAGCTCCTTTCACGTTCACGTCAAAGACCGTGTTGAACTCACTTAGACTGTTGTTACGGATGTAGGGGCACGGTGCTCCGCTTAGTCCTGCGTTGTTGATGAGTATGTCAAGTGTCCCGAAACGCTTGACTGTAAAGTCAACTGCATTGCTGATGTCGTCTTCTACTCTAACATCACCATGGATGAAACAAGAAGAGTCTAACGGCCAGAGTTTTTCGTAATTTATCTCTGAGGTCATCTTGTAGATCGACGATGCAGACTTTAGCGCCGTGCTTGTGGAAGAGACGAACAATGCTCTCACCTATCCCTGTCGCTCCTCCAGTTATCAATGCCACTTTGCCCAAAAGCCTGTTCAAAAAGGCAAGAGACTGAAAAACACAAGTAACGTAATAACATTGAAACAAGTGACACCATAAAAACGTAATGTAGTTTTCTAGATGTTCAAAACAATGTGCTGTATAAGCCGGAAAACCGGATCGACATAAACGATATAAGAAAGGCGGAGTTAAGGAAACAGACGATTATATAAGACATGGAGGCGAGATAAATCTCTTTCCTTAACTCTTAATATTCGCTCCGTAGTGAGACGAAACTGTACGAATATCGAGTCCCAGGATACAACTATGGCAGACGAATCACGCTTCACTCGTGAAACGACCTAACGAACTAAAATTGTACGAACACTCTCTAAACTTATTCTGGGAGATTTGCTGATTTTTTCTTGCGTGAAAAAGTTAAGAATGAAGAAAGAAGAGAGACGATATTTAAAGAGAAGACGAGGAGCAACTTCCCGTAACGTGTGCTCGTTAGTGGGGATTTGGCAAAGATCTCGGGAAGTTTAAGTTACGAAAACTTATCCCCCAAGACTCGCTCTCTCGCTTTTATTAAAATATCTGGCGAGGAATAAACAGCGTGACTTTTTTTTATTTGTTAGACAAACTACTTGTCGTTTTAAATAAAATTCCAAGCCCAAACCCAAGCCCAAACCGGTCCGACGGCGGCGGCACGCGCGCGCGTGGGGAGTCCTCTCTTCCACTGAGCTGTTTAACCCATAGGAACATATATATATATATATTGCTCACTTCTTTTCCTCACAGCCGATGTGGGACAAGTATCTCTTCATTCATTTAATAACAAAAGACCGAAGCCCATTTCTTATTCAGATTTACCTTCTTAATTAAGCCATTAGGCTTTTAATAATAAGGCCCAACAATCCCCCACATGAATAGAAATGACTCTAAACATATGCAGACTATATGCAGACTCGATAGACTTTTAAAATTACTATACTTATTCTAATCACCACTAGACTAGACAGACTAATCGAGAGTGTTTGCGAAAAATTCACTGTGTTTGAGTTGGTGGCATTTTTAAGCATTGAACCACTCATAGTTAATATCTGTCGTGTTTACTTTACCAGAAGGTGAACATGATGTCTTGAACCAACCGATGTTTTATGTAGACCGAGACAAAAAGCATAACGCAGCTTCTTTTTCTCGTAGAACTTAGTTCTCTATTGTGTTCATTGTGGCCCTGAACTATTCCTGGTTTTCATGAGTGAACTTAGAGAATATAGCCTTACATTCATTCTCCTAGAAACGGCCTTATTTCACACTCACTAGGTGATTGACCATGAAAAGTATTGAGTAATACTTCGCTTTAGAAGCTATGGAATCATTAAAATCTAATGCTTATCCTTACGTTTCGTAGCACTTTTATCATCTTAGGAGCAGGGAAGAGGCTACCTTGTCTCAAGTGCTTTGGTTAGATCATGTTTGATTTTGTTTTCCCTTTGAACCTACGTCTTGGGATCTCCAGTCATGATAGGTAGGGTTGCAATCACACATCTCCATTTGTAATAGGCTTTAAACCCATTCCTTTTGATGATTTAGCAACAATATCTCGTGGCAAACCTTTAGTAAATGGATCCGCTAGGTTGTCAGCTGATTATATATAGTCTATTGTGTTTACACCAGTTGAGATAAGTTGTCTAATGGTTTTATGTCGTCTTCTGATGTGACGAGATTTACCATTGTAGAGATTATTCTGAGCCCGAGCTATAGCAGATTGACTATCACAATGTATGCGTATAGCTGGCACATGTTTCTCCCTTATAGGGATATCTTCCAAAAACTTTCTAAGCCATTCAGCTTCTTCTGCAGCTTTGTCTAAGGCTATGAACTCAGATTCCATGGTGGATCTGGCTAGAACTGTTTGTTTGGTAGATTTCCATGATATTGCTGCTCCTCCTAGTGTAAGGACATATCCACTTGTGGATTTTGAGTTTTTAGAATCTGATATCCAGTTTGCGTCACTGTATCCTTCTAAAACTGCTAGTTCTTTACCATAGTGAAGCCCAAAATCTTTGGTAGCGCAGGTAATTGAGTACTCTCGTTATAGCTTTCCAATGTGCATCACCTAGATTACTTGTATATCGACTCAGTACGTTTACTGCATGCGCTAGATCTGGTCTTGTGCAATTGGTCAAGTACATGAGACTTCCAATCGCACGTGCATACTCATTTTGTGAAACCGCTTCCCCTGAGTTCTTGGTCAAGTGCATTTGGGGATCTAACGGAGTTTTCGCCGTGCTATTAGAGTAATTTTAAATCTCTCCAATATTGTTTCAGCATAATGAGCTTTGGTTAATGTAATTCCTTTTGAATTTCTTGTGACTTTAACTTCGAGAATTACATCTGCTACTCCCAAGTCTTTCATCTCAAATTTCCCTTTGAGCATGTTCTTTGTCTGATTGATTATGTCTTTATTGCTTCCAATAATGAGCATATCATCTACATGTAGACATAGCAAAACATACGCATTTTTGGTAGTTTTGTAGTATATACATTTGTCACATTCATTAATTTTGAAGCCATTTGACATCATTGTACTGTCAAATTTTTCGTGCCATTGTTTAGGAGCTTGTTTAAGCCCATAAAGTGACTTTACTAGTCGGCATACCTTGCCTTCCTATCCAGGAATGACAAAACCCTCAGGTTGTTTCATGTAAATTTCCTCTTCTAAGTCACCATTTAGAAAAGCGGTTTTTACATCCATTTGATGGATTTCTAGGTCTCTTAAGGCTGCGATTGCTATCATCAATCTTATTGATGTTATTCTCGTTACTGGAGAATATGTATCAAAAAAGGCATGGCCTTCTTTTTGTCGGAATCCTTGAACTACAAGCCTAGCTTTTTATTTTCCACCAAGTTTTCGCGTCATTATCCATTTATTTCCTAATGCTTTGCAGCCAGGTGATAAATCTGTTATGTTCCATGTATAATTTTGCATGATAAATCAAATTCACTTCTGACAGCTTCGTTCCAAAATGGAGCTTCTGGTGAAGCCATGGCCTTTGCCAAAGTTTTTGGAACATTTTCTACTAGAAATGCCATTAAGAAATCTTCTCCAAATGATTTTTTCCTTTCGAGATCTTTTGCTCCTTCTAGGTTCATTTTTTTCCATTTTCTGAAATATCATTTGTAGAGATCTCGACGTTTGTCTCAGTTTCTGAAACATTGTCGTTGTCTCTTTCTTCTCGATTTCGTTTTGAACCTTGTTTTTCCTTGCATGGGAAAATATTTGCGAAGAAAGATGCATTTCTCGATTTCATTACTGTATTTTTATGAATATCTGATATTTCAGATTTATGTACCTGAAATCGATAAGCACTACTGTTATGTGCATATCCGATGAAGATGCAATCCATTGTTTTAGGTCCAATAGTTACCTTTTTGGTGGTGGTACTGCAACTTTTGCCAAGCACCCCCACACTTTGAGGTATTTATACGATGGTAAATTACCTTTCCATAATTCATATGGAGTTTTGTCAGTTACTTTGTGTGGAATTTTGTTGAGGATATAATTAGTGGTAAGCAGCGCTTCCCCCCACATGTTCTGGGGTAACCCAGATTCCTGCAACTTTGCATTCATCATCTCTTTTAGAGTTCAATTTTTGCGTTCAGCAACTCCATTAGATTCTGGTGAGTTAGGAGCTGTAGTTTGATGGATTATTTTATGTTCTTTACAGAATTCATTGAATGGCCCAACATATTCGCCTCCTCTATCGCTTTTAACTATTTTAATAGTTGTTTTAATCTGATTTTCTACCTCGATTTTAAATTCTTTGAATTTTTCTAAGGTTTCATCTTTGCTACATAATAAGTATACATAACAATATTTTGTACAATCATATATGAAGGTCACAAAGTACTTTTTCCCACCTCTAGTTTGTATATATTTTAAATCACATAAATCGGTGTGAATTAAATCTAGAGGTTTGTTAGTTCTTTCAAAATGAGGTGAGGGTGTTTTTGTGAGCTTAGCCTATACGCATACTTCACATTTTTGTTTACTTGTTTTACATTTTGGGATTAGATTTAGATTCATTAATCTTTGTATTGATTTGTAGTTCACATGGCCTAATCTTTCATGCCAAATATTAAAAGACTCAATCAAATAAGCAACTGGCTCTTTCTTATTTATTGAAACTTTTGGAGCTACAACTTTTGGAAGGACTGTCATTACATTCATTTTGACCAGTCCATCCTTAACATACCCCTTTCCCAAATACACCCCATTCTTCCTAATCACGAGCTTGTCCGCCTCAAGAGATGTGGCGAATCCATTCTTGCTGAGCAAGGTTCCCGAAACCAAGTTCTTCCTCATGTCAAGCACATGCTTCACGTTTTGCAGAGTGACTTCACGTCCAGATGTCATCTTCAGAACCACCTTGCCGTGGCCTTCAATCTTGGAGACTGCTTTGTTCCCCATGAACAACTTCTCCTGAGTCTTACTTTTCTGATAAGTGCTGAACATCGCCCTATCAGTGCAAATGTGGGTGGTGGCACCAGTATCATACCATCATTCTTTGGGGTTGTTGTTTTCAACCATGTTGACTTCAATCACCACTGCAACAAGATCTTCTTCCGTGAGATTCACTTGGGCCTTCTAATCTCTGATCTTACTGCGTCACTCAACAGTCTTGTGATCATTTTTGTGACAGTAGTGGCACTTTCCCTTGAATTTCTACACATTTCATTGTTTTCATTGCCTTTGCCTTTCGTCTTGAAGTTTGATCCAGAAACCTTCAAGTTTGTAGCTGTCTTGGAAGGCTTGGCAGGGGAGTTAGAAATTGCCTTTCCTTTACCTTTCGTTTCAGCCACATTAACACTGTTCTCTTTAGCTTCAAGCTTGTCATTCTTTTAGTTTCTGGCTTCCATCTGAAGCCTCTGAATG